GACGGGCGGCTGCTGCACTGCCACTAAGCTTGCAGTATTGGGTGACGAAAATCTAGCTCTTTCCTTCGGAGCACAAGAGACAGAGATAACAATGAGTGTCCTTGTGATCCTATATGACTCTGACTTACCGACTACTATATCTGTTGTGATGTGTCCCAGCCTATTGTGGCATAAACTTCGTCACCCTTATTATAATGATCCGCCTTCCATCTGGCCCCCTTCATGCCCGTCACGAGAAATTAAGTAAACTAGTACCACTGTATACTGGAAACAAATTAATTTTCACGAAGACCTAATTTTCACGAATCGTCTACATTTTGCAAAAAATAGGTCTCACAAACTATTTGGCTAAAATGTGAACATACAGAAAGCTGTAGTGAGGTCCTTGCGGATTGCAAAAATGGGTACCAGTAATTATTCCAGCTCTTCAGCTTCAGTCGAATTCGCGAAAAATGGAGCCCACGAAAAATAAGTCATGTACAAATGCTTTGTTTTTCCTCAATTTGAAACTTGGCGATGACACAAGCATCAGTGGCCATGGCAGAGGGTTTTGTGGTGCTGGTTGGACCATTTTGCGTAAAAGCAAGTTTCGGAAACTTCGAAGTGGTCGAACTGGTCTTTTGGGGCTCCTCCCTTATCTTTCTGGAAATCTGTCTTATGCACCTTATGACCGGAGATTATGGCGAAGGTCCCCATGATCTGGAGATACAAGAAACAACCCCCATGGTTCGCCGAGCCTTTGGTACAACACTTCCTATGTGCACTGTGAAATCTAATGTTTGTGTGAATGTAATTTCTAAGCTTGACAAAGAGTCATACATGGTAGGGGCTCACTGAGCAAATGATAGCTCGATTTGCCCACCCTGTGGGGCCTGCTAAAGCGCATCACGGCACTTTTCGTGGTGTGCAGCCGCTAGCAGTTGTTAGTCACCCGGCACTTTATGTCTTTGATGTAGTCCTGGAGAAGGAGGCAGCCAGGTGGAGCCAGCATCGAGGTGTGGTCTGCGTACTGAACGAAAGAAAATCTATCATCCTGAGGCATGTCATTGACAAGAAACCGGTACTGTGGCACACTGGAGGGGACGTTCATCGTAGCTCAGTGCACACCTTGGTAAACAAATTGTGGGATTTTTCCCTTCAGTTAGTTTGGCAGCCACTTGAGAAGGAAGCCATGAACGCTGGCGCCTGACATTTTATGTAGCAGGAGATCGATGTTGAGGGCATCGAACGCGTAACTGAGATGAAGCCGTAGAAAATCTTTCTTTTTGCGACTGCCAAGATTGTTGCTTACAAAATGACACGGGGTCGCCAGGACCGTCCCACAGCTGCGGGCGTGCCTAAAACTGTGCTGTGTCTGCAATAAGTATCCAGTGCTCTCTAAAAATCGAGGAACTGACTGTTCAGTATGCATCCTAATGTGCGGTAGATGATTAATGTTATTGAGGTTGGACGCTAATGCTTGACGTCACTTGTAGGCTTCTCTTTCCTTTCGTGAATAGGGGTGAGTAAGGCGTGTTGCCAGGTGGTAGGAACAGCTCCCTCATCGAAAATACTTTGAAGTAGACAGCTGAGGGAGGGATCAAACTGTACTGCGTTATCATCCTATAAAAGGCAGGTGCCACACCATCTGGACAAGGGCATTGTGATGGCTTGATCTTAGACACGGCTGTTCACAGTTCTTCCTTTGAAAAAATGATCCCCTTCACGCATGGTGCATCATTGTCAGATGGTGTGGGTGCGAAAGCAGAAGATTGTGACGACTCCGTGGTTCGTTGGTGTTGCAGACAGTGTTAAGGGCTGGGGGACAGCAAAGGAAGGTGGCCAACTCTGCTGTTTCTAGGAGAACCTTCTTGAGGCATCTTTCGTCTTCTTCAATGTCGGTTTCAAACCTAAGTTCCCTTTCAAAAGCAAGCTGAAATATAAATATATGTTACAAAGTTTCGCAGGCACATACTGGAGTGTACACGTAACAATACTTCCCTACCTGAGAACCCAGTTTGATTTTTTTCTGGAAGCTAATTGGAAAGCCGAAATCCAGAATGGAGAATCTTGATTCAATTCTGGAAATGTCGGTTCCAGATTGGAGAATCTGGATTCGGTTCTGGAAACGTCAGTTCCTAATTGGAAAATTTGGATTTGGTTCTGGAAAAGTCAGTTCCAGAATGAAGAATCTGAATTCTGCTCTGGAAGTTTTCAGTTCCAGAATGAAGAATCTGAATTCTGCTCTGGAAGTTTTCAGTTCCAGAATGAAGTTAGTGGAACCATCACCTGAAAATTGATATCCAGTTACGCCATGTGATACATATTGTGGGAAAACAAATCCAGGAGGTGAAACTATAGTGGTCACATACTGGGTTTTTTTAAAACCACCTAGGTATCTGGCTCTATACTTGGAACCTCCATTCAGGGATCTGTTCTGTTAACTTATCCCCAAAGCCAGTTTGTGCAAACTGAAATGAATATTGAAAACAAAATGTGGTTCCTAGAAACCTGAATGTATTGTAAAAGACCCACTTAGCAGAAATTCGCTGAAAAGCCCTCAGGCATCCAGGTAAAACATTTCGCGAAACAAAAAATCTCGGATATGTATGTCGTTTATATTTTTTTAGTTGTTAGGCTGGCCCAACAAAGTGCAAACAGCTATGGAAATTTAAGTTATAGGTATTACATTTGGTGGCAGAGTTGCCTATTCTGTAAAGCATATATACGAGTTTGTGGAAACTGGAAATAATATAGAACAAATGGAATTCCTGCCAACCAAAACTTACAGTATGCCTAGAATTGAAAATGCTCAGTCCAGCTAGTGGATAGTGAAATTGATATAGAGCTGTCTTAGCTAAATGTCGACACAGGTTTTTTAGTGGCATCACCTACTGCTATTATGTCTTGCTAAGACGAGCTAAAAAAGGCACGTTCTAGGCAGATTCATGACAACTTGAAGAATGCAGCTGGCCCATCAAGTGCAGAAGGCATTTTTAGAAGCATTGAAATGAAAAAAAAAGTAATTGTTTTTTATAATGAAGTCGCCAAACATTTCTACCTTATTGGAATTCGTTAACAGCAGTTAGCATCCTCTGCATCCGCTCTACATTTATTTCTATACTATGATTGATCTCAGAAAAAAATATTACTAGAACCCCCAAGACACCGAAAGGCCATTAGACACTACATAAATTTAAACCAACTTGCACAAATGCTTACTTCAAGTAATAACCTCAGAGGGCAACTCCACCCCAGAAATACATTGCTATACATTCTAATGTGCACGCTCTATTTAATATTTGTGTTTGAAAGCTCACTAGACAAGCATCAGTAACTATCTTGCTGTTCAGTTTTACGTGTGCCAGTTTAAGATTTTCACAAGTACTTGTAGGTGTTAAGAGACAAATCATCGAATGACAGTTCAGTAATTAAGAGAGCCAAGAACTTATAACCCTCATACATAACCTATAGTTACTAAAACAATTAACTAGTCAAAATTAACACAGAAGTATGAAAACAAAATCAATCAAATCATATGTGAAATGCTATTAACAAAAGCCTATTTTGTGGTCCACGAATACAGAAGGTTTTTGAAGCTATTCAATTATGATGCAATGTAGACAGAATAACGAAAGGTCTAAGTCTATTTCAGTCTTTTCAACTTGCATTATAATAACAAAAGAGTGATTTTCTGATTTGCCTGCTTGCAGTTAAAAACAAGCCTACCCTACTGCTACCCCTAGAAGCTTCACACATTTTTGTCAGAAAGGTTAGGGAAAGACACATTAGGAGGCTGAGACATGGAATTGATTTACTCAAACAATAGCCATCTTCCACAGGTCGATAATCAAATTAGCCCGACTAGTCTCAGAAGAGCAAATCAAGCACACGAAGTATAACAAAATGTAAACAAAGAAAATCACTTATGAATGTAGAGTTACCTGAAGGAACACCTTAGGAGCAAAACAAGAAGTCTGAAGATGTGAAAGGCACAATCTCGATAGATTTCCCTTGTTGACACAAAGGCAAAACAGGGACAAATTATCACAGGATGTTTGTTTTGAATATTTCAACTCCTAGGGAACAGTCACTTTACTTCGGCACACCTGGTTACATTACATCAATCGCGCTCAAGAAGGTTTGACAGATCACAGACATAGCATGCTGAGGGCTTCCTGAAAGTGAGAAAAAGGCATGGTGCCTTCAGCTGCTGTGGTTTAACAGCCTGCAAGTTCACGTGAGAAAGAAAACAAAGCCTGATGTGCTGCGGGAAAGCACCTGCCAAGTGATGACAACTTCCCTGCACAGAAGTGTTACCTCACCTTTCAAAGGCAACACTCTCAAAATGGTGAAATCGCACATATCCTTTATTTGAATGACCTAGGAGTCTGTCTTTTTACTCCTGGCATAGTTTCGGCTGTGACAAATCTGCCCTTTCCATGCGAAGTGCTTGTACTCTGTAGCCTGATCAAAGGCGGCCCCAGATCCAGCGGAAAGACAACTCTGCTCCTCTTTGCTCAAGGATGCCTTCGAAGAGGAACCGAGCAGGCACACTTCGTTTGCATACTTGAAGTTTTGGTGTTTAGTGTATCCCAGAATATCACAGCACATCACTTTGACGCTGTCACTTAGAAGCGAGGACACCAAAGTTTGATCCCAACTGCTGATACTTCACTACCCTTTCCGGAAGAGCATTTGATCCTTTCACCAGCTTCACAAGCTGCCCGTTACCGCTTTCAAATTCAAAAGCAGAATGGCCCCACAATGGCCCCAGTTGCTGCACTGCTTCCGCTAGGTGGAGTAACTGGTGCAGGCTGAACGTCATTGCTGGAGCTCCATACAGCCTCCCTGTCATGCCCACAAAGGTCCAGAGGAGTTTCTCTGAAAGCACAATATGACATTATTAAAGCTGGCCCGAAGCAGGACACAAAGAAACCGAAGGGGGAGAACTCGCGTGCAACATCAATGGATGCTGGAGTTACGGTGTCCCTTAAAAGTGCATGGACGGCCTCCACCAGCTTCTTTATGTACGGCCAGTATTGGTCCAGAAGGACCCTGTACATGCAGGGAAGCGAGTGGTACAGCAGCCAGTGGCGCCATTCGGAAGCCTTCCAGAATAGGCGTGTGCTCAGTGCCCTTGGGAGTCTCGTGGAGCTGTGTGGTGGCTTGATTTCAGCCAGCTGGCTGTTGATGACAGCAATAGAGGCAGTGTTTCCTGTAAATAAACAGATCAAATGTTACTAAATAAATGAAAGCATTTGCCAGTCTGTTTTTGAAAACTGGGGCAGAATCTTTGGCAATTTAGTATGAAACAATTGGCTTAGATAAATTATCCCTCTTAAAAAGAGTGCAAATTCTATGTGCCATTACTCCGATAAAACATACGCTTGGTTTTCTAATACAAACGTCTAGCTTTATGGTCGAATCCACCCAATATGTAAGTGAAATCAGTGCATACTGCCTGCTAAAGATGACAGAAAGTGCAGCAACAAAGAAAATAGTTTAGACGAGTCATAGCACGAAATGCCTTGCGTGGTTTAGCTCCCCAGTTTTGCCCATGCTCTTTTCCCGGTTTATCTTTCTACGTTACACAATCCAGCTGAATTCTTCGTTTTATTGCTCAGTGCAGTCAGTCTGCAGAAGTCTTACGAGGCTTAGCCTCCACAATTCATTGAGCTCTTTTGCGAACTAATAAGCTAGTTAAAGTACCTAGAAGCCACACTGACAGATGTAATGATCTGGTTCCAACCGGCTTGGTGTCCTGTACTGTACTGTTGTAAAATCTCTAGAATTGCATAGCGAACTGACATAATGCCTCCTCTCCTTTTTCCTTCCTTGTGCTAAAAGTTATTTAAAGATTGTACAACATGTTTCGAAATTGGCACCCTGGATTAGAAAGAATGAAACAGGAGATTCTCCTGATGTTCACTTCCAAAGTCTCTTGTTTAAGCTACCGTGATATACTGGGCATGCACCATTGTCGCATAACTGCCTACCCCATATCACACTTTTGAACCGTTTGAAAAGTAAGCAAAGAACATGCAAAAGACTCCCATTAAACAAAAGGGGCAGAAGTCATTTCCAACGAGAAAGGAAATACCAGTGATGCTGATATACTTTTTAGTAAGCTGGTCTCCTCCACCTCTTCCATGTGACAGGGCTATATAACACTGGACGCAAATGTCACCACATGATGTGAGAAGAGCCTTGAGGAACTGACAGAATGCACTGAAAGAATAAAACACGTAAAGTACAAACACAGACACACACAGTTCTTTCAATGAGCAGCGAACATTTATGAGATGCCCATTACGCTACGACCTTGAACGACAAAGAATTGAAAGAAAACGAAAATATTCAAAATTTAATATAAAACCAATTTACTCACAAACTTTAAAAATACCAAATTAAAATGATAGCAAAAAAATTATAGGGAAAAACTTAAGGAAATTTCGTGAAAAAGGGGGAAAGGAAGAAAAAAAAGAAAGGAAATTAATGACGAAAATAATCCTGGAAAATGGGAACAAGAGGGACAAAGGACAAACACAAATCTCCAAACACAGCTAGGTTCTTGTCCAGCTCGCTTGTACCTTTACATTAACTGCATTATAATCAGGAAATTAACCCCTGAAAAGGGGGGAAAATAAATAAGAAAAGAAAGGAAAAGACAAAATTAATTGATCACAACAAGCTTTTTACGATAATTTTTACGCTAGAAATTCCAGCTTTTTTGACGACAAAGCCAAAGATGTCCCAGAGACATTGCTCACGGCATATCTGACCTTAAACGCTTCTATTGTTTCGGGCCCACATTTATCTATGTGTGAACTTAGCTAAGTGGTGTTTTCAAAGTGTGGGGTGCAATCGTGGCAGGTACGGGCATGCAGAACTATTGGGTGGAACGAGTCCGATGATGCCTTGGTAACATCTAAATGGTGTTCCCTAAAGCGAGCATTTAGGCATCTTCCGATGGCCGATGTATTCGCCTTCGCAGCTCAATGGACTCGAATCAAGTTCAATTTCAAGTTTTATTCGCCTCAAATACGTTCGTTCAAACGTATTACATGAGGGGGGGTAGAAAAATACAAACAAATGCAATGATATAATGGAAATAAAAGAACTAACTAAGGTTAAAAATTAACAACAAACAAAAACTAAAAACAAACTATACAGAATTCAGAACAAAGTTTACAGAAACCGGGCACAACAGAACTGGGGACTCAGTGCACAATTTATAGGAAACACAAGCAGACATGGCGCTGAAAACATAGTACCAAAGCCAAAAATTTTTTGCGGAATATTTTTTATCATTCTATTCAGTGACTATGTCGTTTGGGAGAGAATTCCCATTTTTAATGGACAGAGCAAGAGGAGAGTATTTGTATCTATTAGTGCGACCAAATATAGGTGCAATTTTCAAGGAATGATCATGACGCAAAGAAATGTATGAGACAGACTTACAGTGAGTGAGCATAAATGATTGCATGTTGTAATAAAAGTTATGAAAAAGAGTAAGGCGAGCGACTGTCCGACGTGATTCAAGAGAAGTTAAATTAGAAAGAACCAAGTCTAAGTGGGAGACACTGGTTTTCGTACTGTAGTTTCGATAAATGATTCAATGGGTCTTTTTTTATTTTTAAGGCCTTTTGCAAGGCGTTTTGTTCGGCCACGCTACCCATGCATTTGCGACCTCGCTGCACCAGGATAGAAAAGTGCGTTCATTTCGCGCGTGTGGGGAAAGGGGAGGGGGTCAAAGTTTTGACTTCCCAGTTGGGGGTGGGTTTAATATGCAAGTGAAAAAAAAAGTCGAAATTTTGGAAGCCGACTTGGGGGGTGCGTTCATTACGCGAGTGCGTTCATTGTGCGAGTAAATACATACCTTACTCATAACTGTTGCAAAGCATGACCTGATGCACACCTCCGCTCTCTTTATATAAACATTGCCCTCGTACTCCACTGAGGTTGAGTGGAGGTAAACATCCAGGAGATCCAGGAACTGACACGTGCCGTGTTTGTGGATAACGTTGTTCATACTGAAATGTTTTTGGTTGACAAACTTTATTACGAGAACGGGAACGACGCTAGGCACATAGCTGTTTTGTGGTGAAAGGCTAGCTGAGTCGCACGTGTGGGTATCAACGCCGATTTGTGAGAAACTGCGAAGTGGGCACCACCAACCATAGTTTTCTAAATACATAACAGATCCTTTTTTCCCTTTTATTTTGCAAAAAGAAAGTTCATGCGAATTTTAAGAGTTCAGAGTCCACAGATTCGGCGATACCTTGCTGGCTGAACAACTTGATGGCTTGATCGAGTGGTTTCGGGTATGCGGGACTACTGGGCAGGACATTGGTGAGGTTGGTCGTTGAACGTGAGTTGGTAGTAGTCCTCAGGGATCGCGTTGTTGTTTCAGGCGAATGGTCAGATGGGGAATCGATTTCTTCTGTAATGCCCCCCCCCCCTCCCCTTCCCCGTCTTCCGCTCTGATTAGGTATGATCGTGGCTGTTGTCCGACTTGGACCACAATTCCGGGTTCCCATTTGTGGTTTCGACGGAAATAGACTCTCTCGCCTTGACTCAGAGGACGTAGTGGTTTGCTGTGTGCGTCACCATGTCGGTGCTGACACTTTTGACGGAACTGAAGGCGTGCTTGAACCTCCCTGATGTTGTAGTGCTGCTCAAGTTAACACGGAGCAGCTGGCTTGAGGGTTGTGATCCTGCGGCCCATTAGCAGTTCCAATGGGGACAGGAGCTGATCCATCGGTGTGTCCCTAAGCTCCATAAGGACAAGAGACAGGTCGTTGCCTTCCTTCGGTGCCTTGGTCAAGCTGTTTTCATTCTTTGAACTGACCTCTCTGCAAGTTCATTCGACTGTGGGTAATCAGGAGAACTTGGATTATTTGTCATGTCCAGGCACTTGAGATACCCTTTGAATGCTTCAGAGTTGAATGGCAGGCCGTTGTCACAGACCCCTTCTAGAATGCCGAATCAAGCAAACTCCTTTTTTAGGGTTGCGATCCTTTGATAGCAGAGGTGTCCCCCTTTTGCTCTATCACAATGTACTTGCTAAAGTAGTCCACTACAAGTAGGTAGGTGACACTGTGGAGATGGAAGAAGTCATTGGTGACGATTTGCCATGGTTGTGTTGGAGACCGTCTGTCTCCCAGGGGCTCCCGTTGGTTCGACCGCTGGTGTTGCTGGCAGAGTTGGCCGTTGGAGACCATTCTTCTGCCAGCACCCGTTCTCCGAAACAATGCCGCGGAGCGGGGCGTTTTCTGCATGGGTCTTTGCAGAAAAAAAAGGCACTCTTATGAACTGATGTGCGGGCAAAGCTAACGCATTTCTTTCTCAGAGCGGGGAGGTTCAGTTGAGAGCATATCTCCCTAGCCTCAGACCTTAAAGACCCTGAAGGTCTTTCCTTGAGTAAAGCAGTTCTTTTTTCGAGTGCAGCTTCCACCTTTTCCTCTTAGATGTCCTCGTTCATAACAACGAAAACTACCATCTTTTCTTACTCTAGCAGCTTTAGCTGGGCGTTGCGGAGCTCCTCTACTGTTGAGTATACATATGACTTGCCTGGAGGAGGCAGATGGGCACAAACGGAATGCACAGCTGTCCCTACGAAGTTCTGACGATCCTTTTCAGGGTTACTTGCTGCTACCTTGTAAACGGATGTCAGTTGGTCTACCCTCGATGCTGGAAGGTCTAGGGCGAACTTGGGCCCGTGAGACAGAAGTCCCACCGTGTCCGGGGAAAGCTGTTTGTCCAAAAGTACAACAGGGGGTTTCAGTTGAAGTCCGAAGCCTTCTGGCAAGACTTGCGTACCTCCCCAGGATTTTTACCCCTGCGGCCTCCAAGAGCCCGACTGCAGAACTCCTGAGGAAGAGGAACGAGGGTCTGTGGCGTAAAACGTATCGAGGAGTGCTGTCGTGGCCGGGGAGAGTCATTCTCATGAGTCGAAGTTCCTGGGATATCTCTATTCTTGAAATCTGCATGATCCTGTAGCTTGACAACCAAGTATGGGAGTGGAATCCCAGCACAAAGTCCACGGAGGCGTGGGCCACGTTTTTTCGCAAGCAAAGCCCCAGGGAGCGTAGACGGAGCCGCAGAAAGTTAATTATTGAGATGTAGCTGACGGCTTGAAAGAAGTTGCGGGGATTGAACACAGGGTGACGGGCGGACGTACTGAGTCAGGACATGAAGCTCACACAACTTGAATTAAAATTTAGGGAGCTTGTTTATAGAGACTTACAAACACAGAAAGAATAAACCCAAAGAGGTCAGAAACACAGACAAGTACATATCTTTCTTTTTTAAAGTTATTATATTGTTTTCCTCTTATCTTTTATCACGGAGACAGTATAGACCTTTGCAGAAACAGCTCGCTGGCCGCCGCCATTTTGCGACTCGAGTGACCCCTATTAGCCAAAAATTTCTGCCACCCGCCTGAGCTGTGGAAACCCGATCAGCGCGACTCCCCACCTGCATCGTGTGTTCGGAGTTCGCCGGCTTTCCTTCTAAGTGTTTACTCTATTTGCCTGTTCAGGATGCTTGCGTGTTTTTGTAATCTTCCACTGTGAGAACTTGGGAATACCAGGACTTATAGCCTTCTGGACCTTCGCAAGAAACGAGCGAAAAGAACGGGCGAAGAAAGCGAACGTCAAGCAGCCCGCGACGCAAACCGTTCGACGTTCTTCGAGGATTATTTCCGTTGAGATAATCTCCGAAAAGCCTTCTCGGATATGTTCCCGGTCTTGGCGAGAAGTAGCTGATAGGGTCCGGGGAATGGGAACTAAATAGACACGTTCGTTCATTCGCACTAGTGCTGTGTATAAAAAACATCACTCTTCAAAACGTACCCCAAGACAAGCCGGATTCCGTGCGATCGTCGTGAAGTGACTGTCGTCGACACTGTATTTTGGATATGCTGTGTTATTTGAGACCTTTCTCAAATCATGTCCGGATAACGCGGCACCGTGGGGTACGCGTACAATATATGTTGTTCGATTTATGAGACTCGTTGAATTTCATATAGTGAGGGGGCAATACCCATGCAGTTCGGCTATCCTCTGGTGTGGTCAAATATATTAGGCAGTTAAGGTTGACACGGCTGAGTGTATAGTGCCGTTATAATCGCCACAGAACACAAAAGAAAAAATAAAGTGAGGCGATTTTGCCGCCACCAGCATTCAAAATTGCTCCTACGCAGGCTGCCACAGCCTACTGACGAG